ATCGGCGTTAATGGTTTGACAGGTGATCGTGGATCGGGAGATTCCTTGGTGTAGAGCTCCCACTCACCAAGACGGTCAGCCAAGCTAAGAAGGAGCTAGACGTTTCGATCCAGAAAGCCCAGCGAAGAGAGACATAGTCTGTGGAACCTCCCGTGGTTACTTTCTCGTCGAAAGGAACAAAAAATGACATTCAATCAGAAATGTGATGCTATCCGAATCCTACGAGCAGGCGGCTCCCATAGATCAGTTGTGCTGGGTGACGGAGAAAGCTAGAATCTTAAATAGTGTCGGTTCGGGACATTCTATTATTGACCGTTCATAGGTGACACAGCGGACGAATCGTTTGATTCTCGTATTCGAATGAAAATAGAATTTCCCGCACTGTGATGTTCCTTCTTTCTAGCTGGAGAACGGTGGATTGTCAAGTAACGCGATGGACAACAAAGTAACAAAAACTTTTGTCTAAACAGAAAAAGAATTACACCGTGTACACGATTTCACACCCATGTGTCACTCAGGCACCAAGGAATACATGATGGCTGTTCATGTACCGCTCATGCAAGATATTTTACTTCCTTCGTGATCATCTATCCTCTAGAAGCGGGAATTATTGGTTGGAATGTAAGGGTAAAGGATGAAGCCTTCTGCATTGATCACACCTTGAAGGAGATGCCGTGAATTCGACTCCATTCGTAGTATTGTTAGGGCGACTGAATGACGTTTATTCTACGCAGTGTCTTTCTAGTACCTACTAATGAGTAAATTCAGCATTTTTACCTTCTAAGAGGAGTGCAGCGCTAATTTTCCGATCTCGAAAAGATAGCGGACATAGTTTATATGGGATACGAGATCGAACCAACGAGGTACGTGTTGCAGCACACCTTTGACCACTGCATCATATGCGATCCAGTTTAGGCACGACGAAAGGAATCTTTAAGTCACTTTTTAATATGTCAAATTCCAGCAGTACCACCTGTCACTTGTCGTCCTGTTGGTCGTCGAATGACTCGAGCCAGCGCCAGTAAATTTTCCATGTTTACCGGTCGCGTGCAGGAGTAGCCCAGTGGGTTCTACTCGCTCTAGGGACTCATTGAGCATTATACCTTTCTTCCAAGGTTTTCGTGAAAAACTCTAACCATCTTGTAGATGGTCTTCTTGTCGTATCTTTGGCATCTCGATTCAAGTCACTAACGGCTCTTGTCCATTGGTTGTCGTTCATACGCAAAAGTAGTATTGATTATCATCAACAAGTGAAATCATCGTGAATGAACAATTTATCAATAGCTGTTCAGTACAGCAAGGCAGTGCCAACTGAGTTACGTCTTTCATGAGGTATTCTGTTCCATTCGATTCGGTTCTAATCGATTCGACTCTACAGGATACGCTCTCAAGGACCATCGAATCGTCGAAAACATCAACTGCGCTGGTTAGACGAACGAACGTCTACCATTTTACAAATTGGCCTGAGGTCTGAGTTTTTCAAATATCTCAGTGTTTTCCGAAGATCGACTTTTTATTAACCTCGGCATTGACTGGTAATTCAATGTTTTTCTTCGATAAGCAAACACGCGTGTGGTGTGGTCAGATGCGCCCTGCAACATACGCGTGGAATCGATCCTCGCGTCCGTGGCTCACTAAGCCTTCTATCCCTACAAGGTCGCCAAATTGGTACTAAACATCTCCGTGAGGATAGCAGCACTGGCTCAATACATCGGTAGGCCATTGCGCGTCTTTGTGAAGGCCAGATATGTATTCAATCACCTCCAAACGATACCTGATGAAGTCGAATGCATGGCGCGTCCCTCAGGAATTGAAAAAAAAAATTCAGGAAAAACGCCGAGAGCTTCATCCTTTTATTTTTATTAAGCAAACATGAGGCTGGTATCCTAGGATTTATTAGTGTAGAATAGTTGGCGTTTCGGCACATTCGCCTCTCTCAGAGCCTGGAAAGGTCAAATTGTCGTGCAATTTACTCAGACAAAGACTTTCATAATCTTAGCAGATAAGGCTTAACATATAAATTTGCCTTTGCATAATAAACAGCTTTATTTCAGCATCGCCTTGGTAATAAATATGAGGTCTTTTTTTTTTACATCGTTTCACTAATTCTTTCCGATTTCTGGACAGTTTTTAATCTCCTTCCGTCAATAGTGATAACTAAGCTCCCTACAACCACAACGTTGCTGAGATATTTGCAAAACTCTGGACCGCAGGTGTCTATGGTGGGGAACGAACGCGCTATTATCCTTTCCGGGGAGTAACGCGTTCACCACCACACCATGCGGGTCCTTTGTTTCGCACGTCTCTCAGCTATTTCTATCGATCTTTTTGCCACAGCAATCACCCGTCAGCGGGGTTGATCTGGGGAGCGCAAATCGCTATTTCGCTTAGTAACCTGCCATGAAAATTATAGAAGGCAGAAAACAAAACGTTAAAACATTGTGATTTCAACTACAGCCATAGCTTAACTGGGTTCTATGCCGATTTGCGCTCCCCAGATCAACCCCGCTGACGGGTGATTGCTGTGGCAAAAAGATCGATAGAAATAGCTGAGAGACGTGCGAAACAAAGGACCCGCATGGTGTGGTGGTGAACGCGTTACTCCCCGGAAAGGATAATAGCGCGTTCGTTCCCCACCATAGACACCTGCGGTCCAGAGTTTTGCAAATATCTCAGCAACGTTGTGGTTGTATTTCGCTTAATAACCTGCCATGAAAATTATAGAAGGCAGAAAACAAAACGTTAAAACATTGTGATTTCAACTACAGCCATAGCTTAACTGGGTTCTATGCCGATTTGCGCTCCCCAGATCAACCCCGCTGACGGGTGATTGCTGTGGCAAAAAGATCGATAGAAATAGCTGAGAGACGTGCGAAACAAAGGACCCGCATGGTGTGGTGGTGAACGCGTTACTCCCCGGAAAGGATAATAGCGCGTTCGTTCCCCACCATAGACACCTGCGGTCCAGAGTTTTGCAAATATCTCAGCAACGTTGTGGTTGTATTTCGCTTAATAACCTGCCATGAAAATTATAGAAGGCAGAAAACAAAACGTTAAAACANATCGCTATTTCGCTTAGTAACCTGCCATGAAAATTATAGAAGGCAGAAAACAAAACGTTAAAACATTGTGATTTCAACTACAGCCATAGCTTAACTGGGTTCTATGCCGATTTGCGCTCCCCAGATCAACCCCGCTGACGGGTGATTGCTGTGGCAAAAAGATCGATAGAAATAGCTGAGAGACGTGCGAAACAAAGGACCCGCATGGTGTGGTGGTGAACGCGTTACTCCCCGGAAAGGATAATAGCGCGTTCGTTCCCCACCATAGACACCTGCGGTCCAGAGTTTTGCAAATATCTCAGCAACGTTGTGGTTGTATTTCGCTTAATAACCTGCCATGAAAATTATAGAAGGCAGAAAACAAAACGTTAAACATTGTAAGCTCCCTACAGTTTACCGCCACATCGTGGCTTGGAGGTGTTCCAAGGTGTCGGGCCCCGATGTACAGCGGGGGCATTGATCCCCCACCAGGGTCTCCCACGCTAAAAAGGAGTCCAGCGTTTTTACTAGGAAGTCTAGCTAGGCGTAAACCATTACCATGATCCACTACCGTGCTGCTATCAAACTAGTCGCATAGTAGCAAGTCTCCCTCTGATCCACAAAGGCGACGACAGCCTGTGGTGGTGACGACCCGGAGCAGACTTTGACTAGGCTGACCTCGGGATTCCAGGGAACCACAATAGCTAGAACAGCAAAACTCCGAAAAATGGAGGTTATGCTGGGGCCCGCACAACCATTGAGGCTGAGCCATCAAAATATCCAAGTAAGTAAAAAAAAAAAAGAAATGAATATTAATCAGATCCCCATAGGAAGGAAAGAATGATTCTGTATGATTCTGCTTTGCGTTACTTCACTTCAATTTTAGGTCATTTCTCTGCTTGTATCCTATTTAATCAATCATTCTTCATTTCTTTTCTTACCAGCCAGTCGTTCTTTTCATATATTTTTCCTGGATATTATTATAACATTAGTCTTCCACTATTTAAGGTGAGAGATCCTTCTAAGATGAATAGCTCATCACCTCGACTACCACCACGCAGCTACAGTAATTTGAATGTGGACTGTAGTGACTATCTATTTCGACCAGTTCAACAATATAGCCCACTAACAAAGGTATTTTTTACACGAGGCTTGGAAGGTTTGGATGATGTTAAGAATTCTGGGTGTTGTTGCTATTTTTTAAACTGGAGCTTATCCCGATTTTTGTTTTGGACGTGTTCATGATCCGTCATTAGATAACTAATAGTGACGACATAGTATTCATGTGCATTCATCCACTTGAAAGGTTCACCGAAGCTGAGAAGAAGCTCTACATATTCATTCAGATGCCGTATCAAGTGTAAATCATAAATCACTGCTAGGAATCGTCGCCATTTTGAGAGAAAGTCCAGAGGTTACAAACCTCCAATCAACATGGGTCTGTGGCGATAACCCAGGTGTGACCTAGCACGGCTTTGGAAATCCAAGGGGTGAAAAAATGTTGTCCAGCCATCAACATACCAGTCGAAGAGAAGTACTGATTTCGGAGAATTTTACTATGCAGATAATGGTTCAACATTATATGAAAGAAACTGTGAAATCGTCTTGTACGCAGTTGATTGCAGTCGTCCTCAGATATCCCTACTTTCAGAGGAAGACTGAGATACAAGAAATATTCAAATTCTGTATTTCTGCATAGAAAACCTTATTATAATGTTTTAAATGTTTCCATCTCTTCCACAGAACTTTGTTTTCAATACCTTTTAGTTCACAGTTTCGGAAATGCACTTATTTGGCAAATTAAAAAATTAAATTAAGTGCAGTGTACGGTATTCATTTAGTATTTACTCTGTCCACAACTCCAAAAAATGTGCGCAGTTCTTCTTCTGGAGAGTTCAAACGTAAATTTTCGTGACCGTCCATCCGGATTCTGGACCACTACTGATTTTTCGTACACAAATGACCAGATCGATAACTGCTGATTTTCAGCAGGTCAATCATCTCGTTTATGAGATACCAAACAACAAATATGCTCACAATCCATGGAACTATGCACCAGAATTTCTTAAAGTAAGTTATTTTGGTCGGCAAACAGACACGACACAATTTTTAGTAATGCGTGTGGTACTGCAGAATCAGAATACTTATATTGCTCTCATCAAAAAAGGAATTCCTTCAAATCTCCCTAGTGCCGCTTGTTTCAGCTACCGTAACTATAAAATACTGTAAAATTTCCGTATTGAACAGGTGTTTGGTGACGTTCGAGTTCATGTGGGTGGAAAAGCCGTTCTTGACTGTGTTCTCTTGGGAAGCCCACGTCCAAAAGTAAGTTCCGTTTAATTTCTTTACTAAACGATGATTTTTCCTTGTACAAAAATTTCTAAGTGCCTTTAGTTCTTCCTCTCAAGAATATTTTGAAAGTCCCTTTTCCGCTAATAAATATGCGATAGCCATGCTATAATTATTCTTAAGAGATTCTATTTGTCTTTGATATGAAAGAACGACATCCTCTAAGACATCCAGAAGAGTTCGAAGGGAAGAAGAACTTACATAATCAATCCATTTGTGAAATGTTCCGTCTCTACATCTGTCAATCCATAGGTACTACTGCGAGCTCACCCGTGTGGTGAACGCCACTTCTCTTTGGCTGTTCTAAGTTGTAAGAGACAGAGCACTTCACGAAACTTTGCCATGGTATGCGAACGTTTTCATAGCTTGGGTGACCCTACTCCGAGGGAATGGTTTCCCGAAGTGTTGGTGATTGCAGTTACACATCCCAACAGATCCAGCTATTATGAAGTACGAAATCATTAAGGGCAGCATGTATAGATTAACAAGTGAGTAAATACATATGTAATGAAGTACTTTAGTCGGAATGAACCTTATGAATCGTAAATTAGTAATTGGCAGTACTTGACCAAACCAAACACTATTCCCTGATAAAATATTGCATTGTTTTCTTTTAACAGATACGAATGTTTCTTATTGTTATTTATGGCTGCTAACCAGGTCTGCTGGCTGTTCAATGATGATAAAATGCGATTCAGTGATGTTCAAGTCGAAGATACTGCTGACATTTGTCGCCTGACCATTCCGTACGTGATGCCCTATCATTTCGGTAAGCACTAAACAAGAAATATTCCCCTCTAGCAATATCATATTTTCGTTCTTAACCTTTTTCGATTGCTCCATCTTCCACCATTTTTCACTAAGTTCTCGATCTTTGTCAACATGTTTGCCTAAGTTTCCTCCCAATCTGAATGATCACTCCCGAAAATCGCATAATTGGTGTTTGGACGAACTTCTGCCTCATGGGTGACCAGACCTTTACCGTATATCCGTCATTCATTCCTCAAAACGTTCCCACCACTATCGTTAGAGCTTTGGTGGATCATAGAGTTTCTCTCCTGCTACTAGTATTCTGCGAAAGCGTCAAAGTCCTCCTAACCTTCATGTCAGACCACATTCAATTTGGTTGTGTGATGCCCTCCTTCCGCAATAAAATAGGGGTGAAGTTCTCGGCGTAGATCAATCCTTGAGGGATGCGCCATCCATTCGACTTCATTAAGCATCGTTTGAAGACTATTGAATGAATATCTCGCCATTAAAATGACTCACGGTGCACTACCGATGCATTGAGCCAGTTTTGCTATCCCCCAAACAAGTCTGGTACCAATTTGCGGATTCCGGAGGGATGGAAGGCTTCTTGAGCATTCGGCGCACCTTCGACAGTGCATTGAAATTTGGTAGTAGCCTGGAACTTTCAATCCTAAGCTTTATTGAAATCATTGAAAAGAATGCTAAAAAAGACGGCGCTCAAATCTCTTGTCCACTAGCGAATGAAATACCGTAAGGTAAAATAACACTTTATTTCTTAAGGTACGTTCACAGTGTTGTGCGAAAACGAAGTTGGACGAGCAGTTACGTCGGCCGAATTACTACCGCTATGAACAAGACAATACTGGGCTGTTATATAGAAATCCGCTCTCATTAAGCAATACTTAATTAAAGACAAATGAATGTGACGTAAATAAACGTTCAATATAATCGGTGATTTCATGTAATGTTGGGGAGCGAGCTGGAAAATTGGAGAAATACTATTTCTGTGCTCAAAGCCGTGTTCGGCCACTGTCGATGAACAGGCACGACATCGTTACCAAATTGATCCCTGCAACAGAAGAGATCGGTTAAGTTTGAACCAATGAACTGGTGAAACAGCGACTATCATGTAAACTGATTCTTCAATTGGACTTTTCCTTGACTTCACAATGTTATCTAAGCACAAATTTTCGTCACCCAGTGATGATTTTCATGACACAATCACTGCTTTCGTCGTTAATGTACCAGATGAACTAATGTGGTTACCGCACGATGTTCAGATAAGGTTCACAATAAACAATTCATTAGATTTTCTTCGTATTTTTGTTGAGCAAACGCGAGGTGTTACTATTCTTTTTAACAAAGATCAATGCCACTTGATCAATGCCGAGGTTAATAGAAAGTCGGTCGTGGCAGTTACAATTCATTAGATCTACTGTCAATGATACAGGAAACGGTTTACCCACGTAGTCGCACGGTCGGTCGATAGGAATAATTAGATAGGAAACCAATCGCTAGACGTCTTATTAAGTATAGTATGTCCGTGTTTTCCTCATGAGAGAAGACATTGTAAATTGTAGGTTTCATTCCGTACCACCGAACGGCTTCGTCTTCTGCAGAACCTGAAAACCTCAAATTGGCACCCATTCTATTTCGTCACACTTTCATAACTTCAGCAGAAAAAAGTCGATGCGTAAATTTCATTCATATAGTAAACTACTGCTTTTAAAGGCTCGCTGTTTTGTTATCTATTGTCGTTCTAGTTTTTGTTGGAGACACGTCCCAAGAGTCTGACATAGATGACGAATGTGCCTGGGTCAGGTCAAAAATCAGCCTGGGGTATGGAGCGAGGTCACGCGTGACCACATGACACTCCTGCTTCCAATTCGTTTCTAGATTTTCCAGACTTATCCACGACACTTTAAGAACTTTTCGTGTAGATGTTTCTTCTTGATTTATTTGCAACAATATTGACTTTCCCTTCAACTTCTTCTCCGTTATGTCTCAATGCCCTATGCGCGCCTAGTGTGATGTTCTATTTCTGTTCTCCAAGTAGATGCCCTTTTAAACTGGATGTTTTATACGGAAGCGGAGTGCACTGCACCTTTCGCCAACGTATTCGTTCCGGCAAGAGTTATAGGAGGTTGTGTATACCGTACCCAAACTCATGCAATCAGTATTTACTGTTAGAACAGATTGTTCAATTTTGCATTTCGTAGAGACGGTCACTCAGTTGGCTAACGACTAGCCAATGTGTTGGTGTATTCGATCGTATTTGAGCCATTGCTACACCGATTCCTCTAAACAAGCTGTTTTCAAGCAACTATTCATAGCTGTGGGCATTTTGTTGGACGTGGTGGATAGTATGAATGGGATTTTATTCTTGGTAGACCTTTCGTTTAGGGACCTTGGGGTTCCTCCGAACCTATCCCGAGGAGGTATGATTTCGTAGCCAAACAAAATGGCTATTTTCCGCACAGATTTCAGGGATCCCTGCCTCTGCTCCCTTCCTGTGCACGCATTAGTGTCCGTTGGAAGCATGTTCCTTACAAGCCCTTTTTGTGTGTGAGCAGTGAGAGGGGAGATAATTAATCAGTGTGCTTTTATAACTTGGCATTCGATACCACTTTGCATTGTAGGCGCTTTCGGTTAGAGTGACTCAAACGTTAAAAAGTTAAAGCCGGTTTGCTTTCGCTTTCTCTAGGGGTGAATGTTATGAACTCTGACCGTTCTTTCAACACCTCGAAAAATTTGTCCATTTCCTCTTGTGTTGAGCAAATGACGAAGCAATCACCTATGTACCTACAGTTGAATAATGGCCAGAGGTCGGTTACAGGTGCTCCCAGCTTAAGCATAATGGCAATGGCAAGGTCTGGTTGGTTTCCCATTGCCTACCATTTCATCTGTGCTCAAAAGCTCCAGGACTATCTGAAGATTGAGCAGTTTAGGCACTGCTTTAAGAGGGTCATCAACTGCTGAGTTGTGAAGGATACGTGTTTATTGCTCCTTGTTGTATAAGGAGTTCGAGGATGGCTTGCATAGCAGAGTCATTCGACACGTTTGCATATAGGGCATCCACCACGTACACACTGTTGTGTTACGTAGATCATAACACAGCTATGTGCTCATCAGATTGGTTAGATTGTGTTTCAACAACCGGGTAAGTGTTAGGTTTAAAAACATGTTATTCTATCCTCTAGTCTGTCTACACAGCTAATAATGGGCTATGAATAGCAACGGGTAGACAGACACAACATCATCCGTGGATAGCAACTTGTAACTTTTGACAAATATCAGAGTGAACATGTTGGTAATTCAACTTTAACTTGGGAAATAAATGTTGGCTTCAAACAAATCGCCCTTGCCACTTTGATCTCATCGCTGTTCAACTTTACATACAAACTTTTTAGGCCCTTTTCAGATGACGGGCGATGAAGGGAAGCGTCTTGAAGATGTTTTCCTGCTGTCTCAACGTCTAACAAACCAAAAATTGCTACAAACCGTCCTCCCTTACCGCTAACTGCTAGTGTAATCATTTTTGATTTTATTACATTCTCGAGTCTCTCGTATATCACGTTTCGTGCTTTTGTGAGGTTTAAACTGAATTTTTTCTCGCGAAAGCTGTTAAGGATTTAGAGAGTTTCGTCCGAAATTATACGGAAGTTGAGGTCTGCTTCACCGTTGAGTTTTGCCGACTAAAGAACGTTCGAGGAAATGGCGGTAGTGACAATGCCCGCACATCCTGTTTTTCGTTGTTATGTAACGCCTCCAGTCTATCCCTGTAACGGAGTCTGTCTTGAACTCAATGCAGACTTCATTTAGTCCTACGCAAGGTTTCTTTATAGAAGAGTTGCCTTGAAGGCAAACTTGAAACCAATTCTAGCAGCGAGGGCGATATGTCAGAGGTGTCACGCCTCCTGACCCTTGACTTCGCTGGCTCATTGCTGACCCTATTTTGACTCGCTCTACTTCCGTATACGGTGTTCCCTTGTTTTGTTGAAGCTGATTCATACGATTTTTGAAGCAGATTTTCGAATTTTCTACCGCATTTCTTTTTTTCAATTAATAAGTCGTAAAACATAGATGTTAAGGCGTATCCTGTGGAAAGTTGTGTTATCTATTTGATAATTTGCAAGGAACACCTCGGACAAGCTCATTTCGTGGCGAAAGATTGCTGCCGTAGAGCGGAAAATGCACCACAGAGTCCGTTTCCGACACTGAATTTCTACACTTGCGATAATCTTCTCACGGTGGTAGGATTGTAAACTGGGAGCTCCAGGTGGGTTTCGAACCCTCGGTTACCCTTTCTCGGAGCTCACGTGTTATCCAACACACCAACCCAAGCAATTGCTTTGCCTTTCGCTGAGTTATTTTACCACTCTATCAGTGCCATCAGCAGTGACAGGATCTGGAAAGCAGAAGCTGGTATTGAACTCAATCCACCTGAAGCTGCAGTCGAAATCACAACGTTTCATTAATTATTTGTTATTGTTGCTACTACTTTACCATTTATATCATTTTTCAAGTACTTTATTTTATTATCCGTTTTGTTTACTGAACTCACTGTACTTGTACAGGAATTTCGGCATCAGCGCGCTAAATTCTCGAGGCATTTCGAACAAAGTCCAAAAATCCATGGATGAACTGCAAGATTAGCGCCTTATGATCACGTGTGACTTCGCCCCATGCCCCCTGTTAATTTTTTGACCTGAACCAGGCACATTCCTCACTCATGTAGGAATGCGGATCTGGTCTCTATCAAATAACTAGAAGACCTACAGAGAACAGAACGGTGAACCTTTGAAAGAATTGTTTTCCATTCTATTCAGATTTAGGTTTTCGTTTTTTCTGTGGTTATGGAGGTATTTTTTTTGACCAAACTGTGGGTTGATTTGGCCTTTCTCGACTCTAGAGAAGGCGAAACCGCCGAGACGTCTGCTAATGTGAATGAATAAATGCTGTATCAACAACTTCGTGTTTGCTCAAAAAGGAAACATTGAAACGATGCAGTGCGAAGGTAAATTGAAAACCGGTTCTGGGGATAAGTTAGAGGAGCTTAGGAGTCCTCGAATGATAACATTCTATTAAATAGAAGACTCGCTTCTCACAGAAACCACCATGGTGCTTTCATAGGATGGAGCAGAACCGAGCACCGGCATCTTCCATGCGCGGGACTTCTAATGGTAGCTTCTGAATTATCTGGTGCCGGTGCCAAGGCAAAACTCCAGAGACGTAGTTCATCTCTCAAAGCCCTTATTCAGACCCTAATTAGATAGATAGATGGACCCTCATCAGATGCTGTGCGAAGGTCAACACTTCTCCCACTTCCTTCCTCACCTTGCAATCTATATCCACTAGGATACTTGGCTGGATGTGTGAATTTACATGCACCTTCAGTATTTGTACACCTCCACACCCACTGACACGTTGAAAGCTGGTTGAGTGTTGCTTACTTTGGAATGCCGAGAATATCATGCTAGGGTTCTCCTTAGCACAGGCGGTTGGTGGTTCTGCATCGGAGGAAGGTATGCTATCTTGCGACAAGGTTGCTATTAGACCGGCATTCATTGGTTTATTCACAGCCCCGTTTCCTTGGGAAAATTCTCCACTATTCAGCTTGAGAGACATTTCAGGAAGAATAAATCTTGCACTATGGATTAGAGTGTTACACCTAAGAGCGCTTCGAAGAATCACTGCTGTAGTTTGCAAATGCACATGGTAACATATATCGTCAACCAGCTGTATTCACAACTGATAACAATTCATGAGTTATGGAAACAAAACAACGCTGAAAGCAGTCTTCCGGTAAAGATCGGTGATGAAAAAATGAATGGGAAGTGTGCTGTGGTTAGGCCTGCTCATGTTGTGAGCAAAGGACGAATCAGATCGTTTATAAACGGAACGCCTGTTGAAAAGTTAACAGTGGTCGGAAGAGTACACTATGTCACCTAACGATGGCAACGTTGATCTGTCCCAGCTGAAATACCTTACTTGGATACTTGGATAGCCCGCATTCACAAGTTGTGCGCAGGAAACAACAATCTTCATTTTCTCTCTTTTTATAGAGTTGCCGGTTGAGCCCTTGTAGTTCCCTGGTACACCGAGGTCAGCCTTGTTAAGGTATGCCGAGCTGAAATACCACCAATAGTTTTTTGGCCCACGTGAACACCTTTTATCTACATTGCGCATCAGAGTTGCTCAGTCAGAGTCGTTCAATTGAAGGACACAACTTGTTACAACTTCCAGATAAGGCCCTGTAATTCAATTTTTATTGTGAAGATCTCCACGAGTATCTAGTGGTTTTCTATTGGAGAAACTGAATAGACTCCTCGGTAAGTTGTTGGGCTATATCGGTTTAAAGTGTAGACATGGAACCTACTTGTGGAATGCGAAACGATTCGCATTCTATGTCATTGTCAGCCATTTCACTGGAAGCTTCTGAACGAAGTGACGTTCAGGATACAGTGAACAAATGTGAAGGGCAAACCCACTCATGTATAAATGTATGTGACATGATGAAGAAATTAATGAGTTCGGTTAGATAGGGACAGAATCCGCTTCCTCTTCACGTTCGGCCGCCTATCCACTACCGGGAGACGCGTCACGTAGTCCTGTGAAAAGCCCGCTGGGACCCCTTTTGAAGAGGGTGCATATGCGATGGTAATGTGAAGGCTACTATTAATAAACAGATCAGCACATTCATTCAGTTCTAAATCATTTCTCTAGGATGACAGTTATACCGGTTAATACTTGTTTTTGCTTGAATTGCATATCTTTTTCTGATCAGAAGGAAAAGAAAAACGAGGGCGCAGACAAGAAAATGCATTACTTGTACGCTAATCTCATCCCATACCAATATTCACTACCTTCCTTACTGGAAATAAGAAAAACAAAATGTATCCTCATCTGTGAGAAAATCCCGAAAAACGTATAGTTTTGTTGCAGCAGAATCTCTGAGCGCTATAAGAAAACCCGTTTAATATAAGAGATAGCTTACAGCTTAATGTCGCCACCTGGATGACCATCATTCTCTAGGAGATGACTTCTTCCTTCTAATTCACCCTTCCAAAAAAAATTCTTCAGAAATCGTCCGTTACCTTTTCATAAAGTGTGAACCGCATAACTAGTGGTCGTGGTCAAATTTATAAGTCGGTCCTGGAGCGATTATCCACCAACGTTTCATAAATGCTGGAGTACTACGGTAGTGCGTCAGTCGCTTCATTTGTGCTGGCGTGTGCGGCTAAGTGGAGAAGATGAACCCGGATGGAAATCCCAATCAAGTTCCGGGGAATTCGGATGCAATTCCAGGTATGTTACTACTTTATTAGAGTGGTGCCTGTTCAGGTGCAACCACGTTATGCCGGCATTTGGAGATGGGTTTGACTCTGCCTTGTTGAACTAATAGGTGTTAATCTTCTCTTCTCTACCTAACAGCTCTATATGTTTCCCACGAAAGTCGTCCATACTTCTATTAGTTTTATCAGGTGACAACTTCAGATGGCATTTATGGCGCCAGAGTGGGTTTGACCTTAAGCTGTCCTCACTTAAGAACCCGAAATGCTCAGTTTGAATTTCGAACCACAGACGCATTTAGACGAGCTCCTGTGGTTGTACTTGCACTGTAGATGATTAGCATCTGGAATTCTTATTTTGAAGAACAACATTGTAAATGTTTACGACTATGAGAATACATGTACTGCAAGCTCTCTAGTCCGCATTGCTTTAACTTTTCATACGGTTGCATCGAGATCGCGTGTAGCGCAGTGGTCGAAGGCGTTATACAATACACAAGAGGTTGATCCCTTCGTCCAAGATTCGCCTTACCTTCCATCCCGCCAGGGTCGTCAAATTGATACCAGACTTGCTTGGGAGGATAGCAGCACTGGCTCGATGTGTTGATAGGTCACGCAAAGTCATTGTAAGGGCTAGATATGCGTTCAGTAACCTTCAGCGATGCTTAGTGAATTCGAATATGGCCCATCCTTTAGGTATTGGTCAATGGCGAGAACTTTATCTTTTTTGTCCTTTGTTATTAGTAACCGTTGGTGTATAGTAACACCACTGCTTCAATACGATTTTCATTCAAATGTCTAGCAGAATGCATTGCCTTCCTGAAGAATGCGCTGCAGTTTTCTTTGGACACTACGGCTATGACATAGTGGGTTGACCCGTGGGTTTGGGTGGTTTCGTTTGAGAAGATATTCTATGCAAGATGGGAGAAAGAACTTCTCCGTTCTGCCTTGAAGGACCGGAACTGGTCCGTTACTGTTTTGATAATTTTGATACATGCTTTGAAATCCTGGAATCAGCTTGCTTAGTTAAAGTGCTGTTACGAAGTCTGCCGTCCGGATGTGGAAACTTTTTTCCCCCGCTCCAAGTCGTTTATCTTCAAGAAGGCCGCTTTAGTCTGAAATTTTTAGTAGAAGGACCAGATCGTCTGGTTAACATCCATGACATTCTTTCTGATGCAATATTCCACATAGATAGACCTTTGCAGTGTTCTGAAAGTCCGTTTACTTAAGAAATCTATGAGATCGTTTACAAGGCGTATTAATTCGGATTGAAGAAAACATGATATCATTGGAAAAACGTCATTCGAAGTATTTGTCGATGTATTGATACAAAGAGGATTATAACAATGGTGAATTAGAGAAGTCATTCATCTCAGGTGATGTGAAGTTGTATTCCTCACATAGATGTGTGCTGCAGTATATGGAGCCTACTGAGTGCTCTGGCGTGCATTCATATTCCTAGGCCTTTTGTCGTATAAATCTTTGAATGTTAAATTTAGAGGTCTGTTTCTGCACTTACAGCGTTCTACTATTATCTGTTCAGGATCTTCCTCTCTCGGAAATAATTATCCGTGGAATGTCGTGAATCCCAATGCTCAGGCCAACAGATGTTTGAACGACGTGCTTGCGGTAACTCATTTATCTAACGATTCGTCACTTCCATTTTTTCGATTGTATTATCTCGTTAGTTACCAAGTAAAGTGTGATGCTTCGAAACAAACTTTCTGTGTAAACGTACACATATATATATCCATGTATATATGTATTAATATACAAGTATATGTATGCATATATATACTTTTTATTAGGTTGAATGTAATGGTACAGACGTGTCTCGGTTACTGTGGGAGCGGCATCGTGCAATTAAGGTGAAGTAGTCGGTACCCGTACTCATTATCTTTATCGTTCACCGACAGCTAAATGCCATCTAGGTTTGAGCTACGAGAGATTTGCTTGAAAAGTCTACAACGACTAGTTTTGTATGTTCATATCGAAGCATCGTAAGAATGTTACCAGATTTGTGGCAAATACTAACGTTTCTGTCTTTCCATCACGTATATTAACCGTTTCGTTGATTATTAAGTGGTTCAACTGGGAGGGAGAGGTCTGAGTCTCCATCCGTTCCCGTTGTATATCATTGTTTTTCTTTTTTCTTCTGCTCACTCGAGAATCGTGTATTGAAGATCCCATCAGTGTTCGGCTGAACACCACATTGGGGCTTCCTATCACAATTAGGGCGTCATTTTTTCCCTCGTTGTATGGATGACGTCAGTTGTCGTCAAGTCGGTAACGGCTTCTTGATCAGTTATTTAGAAGCTTAAATGTGATACATAACACTACTTATTCGATTTCTTTTGACCATCCTTAAAAATTGTGTTATCTTCAGAGCATTTCCTGTTCCTCTCGATAATTTTTGTCATTGTTGTCTCTGAGAATGTGTCGCTTTGGCAATACCATGTTTGCATCCTAAGGAGAGGGGTATCCATGACGTTGACGACGATCACCCATTTTGCCTTCTTTGTGAACGAAATTTACGGAGTTTCAATGGCGAATGTGGAAGAATTAGTCTATAATTGAGCAACGCTTATAAGAAGCGATTACTGGTGCCCGCATATTATCGGGAGGTACCTCTCTAGGTGATTTTACCCATATTTATCCGGTAAGGAAGTCAATATGAACGAAAGGCTTAGCTTCAGGGCTGAGCAGAAGGAAATGAACTCGAGGAGTTTACAAAAACATCGAGGATCTAGTGCATAGTCGCCTAGGTAACATCTTTCTGTACTGCTACATTTTTGATCTTACGGCTTCTTTTTCCGTAGATCAGCTGAAGAAAGATCAATCAAGTTTTTCGAGCGCGTTGCGAAGAGGCTGATGTTAGGAATAAGTTGTCTCACACACATAAGAGGGAAATTTAAACCTTCAATCTACGTCGTCAGTTATAGATCCAACAAGCTGCAGTATAAGCCAAAATATGGACAATGATATTTTCTGGCTGGTAGACAACCGGTATTAACAAGGGGATCTCGACTGATCTCCAGCACTCAGTTGTTAAAATGCGGACTCGACGGTCTGGTAAACGAAGGCACTACGGTAGAATCATGATTTTTTCGTCGAGTTTCACAGTTTGGAAGATGCCTATGCTATTGTAACACACGAGAAAAATAACTTTGGTGGTTGGCCGATGGTGAACAGGAAGGCAGGCTATGGGTGATACCGACCTGCTGCTCGAAACTCATAGAGGGACCGAGGTGGTATAGCGCTCGAATAATCGGTTTTTGTTCCGTTCTCGGTAATTTGAGCCAAGTTCAAACTGTTGTCCACATCTAATGAATGGTTTGAGTGCTCTTAAAACAGCAACAAAGATGTCAAAGTTACTTTGCGGTCTGCGCAATAAAAGTTTGTTATTGAATAGTTCTTTGTGGTTTATTCTCTATTTATATCGTTCTGTTAGGTTCTTCACAAAAAACGCGTAGCCTTCTCAAACTCCTTCCGATTTTAATTGCAACAGATACAAATTCGCAAAAGTCTATTAGTTCCTGTTCCAGTCTTAGTCAATTCTTGATCCATTGGTGGGAAGTGCAGTATCTGCACAGTTCAAAAGTGTAATTTCTGGAATAACAACATCAGTTCTGTCTGTTTGCATTGAATCACCACAGAGGGGCGGCTGGCGGATACAGAATCGCATTGCAGAATGATGGTCATACCAAAGTCTCAATTGTTTGTCATCCCATCCGTTTTCTAAATTTTTATCGCTTGCCAGTATTGAAGTAAGCAGTTAATGTGGACCCCTCAATAAAATCTATTGGGTACAAAGACTTTTGAAAAAACGAGGCGTTTTTCTTGGATGCCTGAGATTAAGCCTCCCCACCCCAAAGGATGTCACTGAATCTTTAGCTGTCGTCAATCCAGCACGGCTATTTCAACATTCCTGCATCTCGAGAACTCAAAGACCTACAGATATGTAGCTGAGAAGGCAAGAATAGATATGATAGATCTTGCAAACCATTATATTGGCGAAATGTGAATTCATTTAAATATGATTTGATGCACGTTCCTGAACTGTCTAAGGACTGTATATCATTTCGTTTTCGTTAACTTTATACGTAAACAGGTAATTATGACAAAAGCTGCTTTTCCAGAGCTTGATGGGGAATGCACTCCTTGATTCGGTGCGTCCCCAAAATCTTTACGGCTTACAACCCACTATGCTGAATCCTCTCCCACTCCAGTTTCAACCACTTTCAGGAAATCCATTAACTGGAGGTTGCTATGCTCACAGTTCTTCTGTAATAATTTTTAAAAATTTCCTAAATGATTTATGTAGTTGGGTCGCATTTGGTGCGGTGGTTAAGGGGTGTGGGAAAAATGTGTATTCATTTACCGTTTCCATGCTAAATGGAGTCGAATGCCTAATGCATACGTAGGAAAATTCAACGTTGAACACCTATCGCTTATAATCACTTACATTCCAGGTGATTCGAACCCTTTTCTGTGGAATAATATGCTTAATTCTATGCTTCGCACTCTCGGGCAAATTCCTCAGGTAACACTTTCTGCGGAAGTTATTTCTTAGTAACCATAGAAAGCTGGCCATGTGATTTCTCTGTGAGTTGTGGCAATGTTTACCATACACCGTTTCGTAATTCCCTTGCCTATGCAGTTATGGGGCAAGTTAAACTTGTTCTCTTGTTGTTTATTTTATGCTTTTATATCTTTAACTTGTCAATTTTTGTGGCCAAACAGTTGTCCACTTTTATTTACACGCTTGAAGCCATAAAACCAGGCGTGTTTGCCGTTTTTCTTCCCAAAGTGTCAATTCGTTCGACACCTCATTCTACGTTAAAAATTCTTTATTCTTAGACCTGTCGACAGTCATAAATGAGCTGTAGTATTTTCTACTGAAGGTTTGTAAAGGAAGGTTTTCTAAAGATCTCTTGATTTTCAGTAAAGATTAATTCACGTTAATTCAGAATGTTGTGAACAACAATCCATTGTTGGTGACGGGTTTTCAAAATTTCCCAGCCAATGATGCGTTTTTTAACAGGCCTATTGGACCGGCACTGGGGAACATTCGTTTACGTTAGTATTTTGGATTCTCATTCTTCCTCTTTTAGTTTGCATTAACTGAGTTAAATGTTCCAGCTAATAATGGTCAGCAAGACAACGGCATTCTCCAGAATCCTGCAATTCTTCCTATTCTATCAGACAATCGGGTAAGCTTGCCGGCCACTATTGAAACTCTTTCTATTGCGAATTCGAATGTGTAGGTAATAGTGAAGCAGTCTGTCAGGAGCAACGTTCTGCTTCGAATCCTTCCTAACGCTCTCCAGTCCATGTGGGAACGCTTCAGTTCGATTATCCCCATGATTGCAAAGAAAATAGATTCGACAAGGATTCTACGACATTCTTGAAGAGGACAAAAACCTCAATCAGCAGTCGAAACAACATGCGTAATTGTCAAAAGCGTTTGCGGGCCATGAAGGCGAGGAAAACGAATTGCATGCAAGAAGTGTTGGGATTTGTACGATAGATGAGATGACGGGTCATTTTATAGTGTTAATAATAAAATATACTTGTATACAAAATAAATTCGTATGTTTAATGTTTTGAAAGGGGATTTCTCCAGGAGTGCACGTATTTATAGGAAATTTCGTTCTAGAATTCCAAGGGCAAAATCGATTTAGTTAAGTAGAGGCCTTTACAAAGTGTGCCTGCTAATAATGAATTTTTTGCAGTCCAAGTTTAAGAACTACATGGAAGTCGTTATTTGGGTTAGTATTTTTGAGTTGAAGCTTTTTCTTTCTAGATGACGTTAACTTGTTTTGATGTTCTCGACAAGGATAAACATTACGTAGCTCTTCGCCTTCCAAGATTTGTATTAGTCCTTATGAGCATAGAAGTAGCGGTCAACTCTTCCACGTGGTATTAGAATCGCGTTATTGCGAGTTTTAAAAGTGCTGAGAATTTTTAGAGCTGAGGCGATACTAGGGATCTGTTGAGTTCTGTCTGGTTTTGTTGAGAATTCTTTCACATAAGGCGAAGTTTTGGACACTAGCGAGTTGCTGTGCGTATATTTGAATGCATGACTTGATTTGAATAATTTTATTTGAATGTATATAAACTATTAGGACTTATAGGTCTTTGCCAAACACAAATTTTGTTATCCCACCGAGGTGTTGAAAAAAGAGTATATTTGCAGAGGACTGGATTCAACGATCCATCGCATTAGGTTTTGGTCCTAAAACTTCTTCTATTCATTTAATTGTTTACAAGTGTCAAGCAGGGAGGTAGTTGTGTTCACGTATGGGTTCTTCTGAGTCCTAAGGGTTTGAAAGTTTATTCCAGCTGGGAATTCACTTGGCTTCACGGTGTAACCAACATGTCGAAACCTTATTTTTTGAGGTTTCCCACACAAGGTCATTTCGGTTGTCTTGGAAATCACTAATGATCTTAATGTATACCTGCCACTATTTGATCTAATTGTGAGGTCCGTGGGTAAGGGAAGACTGTGGTGCTGTGTTATCACGTCTTCATCACAGATTGTCGTTGACCTTTGTGATTCATAAGGAGTTTAGTAGCTTCGCGACTCGTATTCTTCGAGGACGCTTGTGATTCCATTTGTTGTAGTTAATATTGCGATTAGTCTTCTGACTGCTTCAAGGGATATGGTAACTGACTCTCTAACGTGCATGAGTTTCTATATGAAAGACTTTGAAGCATATTCTTAATTCCAGGATGGTTCAATACTGAATTCTAGGACAGTCACCCGTTTTTGGAGAGGCATTCCGAAGAATTCCATCTGACGAATCCGGTCGTTCAAATACTCCCTGCAACTTCACTTGTGCATCCTTTCGGTTCCTTTTTTGTAGTGAGATTTGCTGTTGATTATTGGAGTTAATTTATTTTAAAGTTTCAGATGGTGGAAATAATCCAGGAATTCCTATTCCCAAAGCCAGTGGAGATTTTCCTGCAGAGTCAAGTGTTGGGCTAAATTATCTTGTGAGTTCTTGGAACACCTGTCATGTTTAGATGCAGAAAGGAAGTTTTTGCCTTTTACTCTTGCAGCTTCCAAATAAACATGAATATACTGGCTTTGTATCCAGTTCTCTAAGGTCACTTAGAATTCAGCAGCTTCAAATCTGCTTTCGAAATACCTTCTTGTCCGTTACTTGTGTGAAGGAGTGCCATAGTGTTGTATTACAAGGCATCTTTTCACATACAAATATTAGGAAATGTGTACGAATTTAATACAGTTCACGAAGTTAGAAGATGTATGCATTTTCAGGACATCGGACAGACCCAGCCAGGTTCCTCTACATTGTCAACCACATCTACCCAAACTGAGTCGTTTGACCATTTTAATCCTCTTCTACCTGTAGTACCAGCAAGTGCGAATCCTCGTATGTGAAATTTTTATTGGTCTACCTTTTCTTTGACCTTCAAGTTCTATGCTAACCAGTTGGACTTTTTAGATGACTGTGGTGAGGTTTATGTGAAACATCCTGATGACGGACGTGCAACTACGTTTGTAGATGTAGATGGTTTACCAGTGAGTGCCTTGTCTGATTAGAATTCCTTTCTTCCTTTATTATTCAGTATTACCTTTTGTTTTGTCGTAGACCCTTAATACTATTTGTTGCGTTCGAAGTGCCTATAGTGATTTTCAGGAGGAGGAAAGTCGTACGCTATCACATTACGAGAGCAGTCGTATCGCTTCGGATGAACCCCACGATGATACAGGTTATTTCTAATTACACTTTTCTACTTTGAACACGCACTTTACAGTTTTGTAAAAACAGAGTTTTACGCATAAGATTGTTTTATTTGTTTTGATAATGTTGTTGCTGATTTTAGTAAACGGTGCACAATTTGTGAAAGAGCTACCACTTTCGAACGAAGAGGAATCAGTTGGCTTCGGAGGAGTACGACTGAATTCACTCATAGTTTGTTTATTATTTGAATAGTCCATTTCTTTTTGAAACCTGCATTTTTTGGGAAACTCAGCTCCAATAGTAGAAAAGAAGAACAATAAAGTAGGTGTTTGAGTTTAGCTAAAATTTATCCATAGCATGCTTTGGTCCAGTTTTCTTCTTCCATATGTAACCGTTGGCGGCGGATAGAGCAGTGGCAGTGACACCTTTTGAAACTCGTTGGGCCCTGTTGATTGTGTCTGGGCTCAGCCAACACTTGCATCGCTCTAGGTCTACTAATTCTTACTAGGCTTGTGTAGGAAACTTTCTCTAATAAACAACACCTGAGAACGCTGTAGCACAGTTATCTCTTTGTCAAATTTCAGGCGGGAACAATGAACTTGATCGGCATTCCACAATATTTATAAAGAACACTAGAAATGTTGGGGTAGCATTCGAATTCACAGACGAAATCCGAAGAACTTTGTGGATACATTATCCAAAGAAGCGAATGGAAAGAAAACAAGTTATGGGCTCCAATTTTCCGAGCTCAAAATCGTGGTGGGCTTCGTTGGATGGAGGTGGAATCAATCTAGGGCTGTGCGAGTGTTTAGTATCATCAATTCGGCACCTACCGCACATAGTCAGGCTCGGCTCACTTCTGATTAGTGATTTCTATCTCAATACGCCGAATAATCAGAGTAAAGAAAAACGAAAAGCGAATTATTAGGAACTTGCTCGCAAAGCCAATGACTAGACATGCCGATGTACGGTAGAGTGGCTAGTGTATATGTTTCGTTATATTAAATTATTGGGAGTGGTGACCCAAGTTAGGTAGTTCTTTTAGCCGAGCATCACAACATTGGTTAGCTCGAAATCACTTGTCTCTCTAGCTTTTTTGGATGGTAGTCATTGTTAGTTGAAGGCGTCTCCAAAAATTCCAATTCCATGGTTTTGCACCAGCTATTTGTTTACATACTTATAAGCTGCGAGTGCTTAATATATCCCAATTCGCAAGAACATGTATTGAAGACAACGAGTAATTTTTAGGTCGAATCGGTGCAAAGTATAGCTCAGGAACAGCTGCCGTCCGGGGAAAATTCCGGTTTTGTTGATACTACTGGTAGTAATTTGTAGCTCCTGTTACTTTTCTTGTTATGACTATTGCTTTTATTTTGTATTCACTGACTTTTGTGCACGTAAAAGTTTATGTTCTTAGAGCAGAATCCTTTGCTTAAAGTGGTTCTCTTAGGTGTAGTGTTGATAAGAGTGGGTAAATTTGTTGGTGAAAACTTGAGAAATCACTACTTTGCCTTATGAGCTTTCCATCTATTAATTCTTTAGGGACTGTACCGTTACAAGATAATGATCTAAATAACAATGCAACGACTGTTCCGTACGTTGTTAGTCTTGATGAGAAGGCTGTTCCGCAAACCGACATTCTTCCGGTGAAAGCATCATTTTGAAAGACTTAGAATAGGTTTTTGAACAACATTAGTTATGAGGTTTTAGGAAGTTGCAGTGCCAGAAATTGGCGATAAGGGGTCTGACATTAGTAGCCAGGTTCCAACCACGGCGTTCGAGAGTGAGGCAGTCGGTTCTAGCGAGGCCACGACACTTTTTTGTGGATTGGAAGGCGTAAGTTCCATCGTGTTCAACGTATATCCAAGGTGTATCGGTTTTTTCTAAGTGGTTAGGCCAGCTTTGTTCAAAATGTTGACTATCAACTAGCGCTTTTTTGATGTGATAATACCGAAAAATAGGTGGATACGGTTGATGTTGTTGAAAGCTGATTTTTCACTGCTTCAAACGTCCTTGACTACCAGCGCGGATTTATTCCTTCACTATGGAGCTAATAATGGCTCTCAAGTGCTCATTCATCCAGTTCACTATCATCTAGAAGGAACTTTTGTGAGAAGTGGTTTGACCTTTGGACATGTTTGCCCACTTTTGTTTTTTGTTTCAACTAGTTATTAAGCTGTAATCTGTTTTGAGTTCAGGACTTTTCTTATATTCACTGCAGTATCACATTTTTGGTTTCTAACTTTAGGAACTAACTATAACTAACAAAAGTTCCGTGCTTTATTAAAAGTTGTGAGTTTACAATTAGCGTACTGATGCAACTAGGGTCTAGTTTTCAACACTTTTTTTCTCGTGTAGGAAAGGAAATTTTCATTGATTACTTGAATCCCGTTGTACAATTTAGTGTTCGCAATGCTTCATCGATTCGGAACAACTGTGCAGACACTTGAAAATGGACCACAGTCTTCCTACATATGTAGTGACAATAGATCTTACGACAAAGATGGAGTACTTGGTGCGTTCTTAGGAAAACTCGTTATTTCATTGTTATCATCATGTTTAGGAATATGAGTTTAAACAAATTCTAACTAGTTTTGAGGATGTAGAATGCTTTTTACACAGATCTCCAATTGTGTAATTCTGTAAAGATCGATGGTATTCCTTAGCAGCAGTGTTTTGATTTACGTTTTTATACTTGATCAGTATTAGAGCCACTATTTTCAATTTAACAGGGCTTTCACAATGAATATTTGAGCAATGAGTTCTTTCACAAAATCGACGTTGATGGAAATTACACTGTGTATACGTGTCAGCGGTTGTTGCCTGGCGGAAAGACGACTGCTCTGAGATTGGTTGAAGCAACAAGAGTAAGATTTTCTGCTAGATAAAGTTCATATTCGCAGATGTTGTACACAGTTAATAACTAGAGCTAAATAACAAAATTTTTCCACAAAATGTTGAAAAGGACAAGGGGTAAAGCTCTCGGCGTTGATCAGTCTTTGAGGGAAGTGCCATGCATTCGACTTCATTAAGCATCGTAGGAGGTGATTGAATGCATGTCTGGCCTTCAAAGTGACTGGGGGTGGCCTACCGTTGTATCGAGCCAGTGCTGCTATCCTCCCATACAAGTGTAGTACCAATTTGCTGACCCCGTAGGGATGGAAGGCTTGGTGGGGCCGTGGCCACGAGGATCGATTCCACGTGTGTGTTGGAGGGCGCCTCTGACCACTGCGTCACACGGCCACACGCCTGTTCACAAAATGTTAGAAGCTGTAAATTTCCAAGCGCTGTCACCTCCACTTCGTAGTAAAAAGGTAATGCTGATTGAATGAGTAGGCCTATTTACTGAACTTCCAACTTCATAGCATAATGTTAGGATCATGAGGCTTGTGTCTTTGAACGCTGAGTTCGAAGTACCTTCACGCATCACTCCATAGTGATATTGCAAATAATATTAGTTAATATTGTTGTGTGATATTCTCCACGTCGTCGACGAATCTAGGACAATCAGTGGTCGTGCTAGCCGAAATCCCGCTTTTTTATTCGCCTCGCGGCGCTGGATATAAACGTCAATGGTGATGAAGAGACAAGTTGATTTATGTATCCACAGAATTATAATCTCATCGTAATCGTATAATTAAATTTGGATCTTCTTGCCAAAGGTGCGAGGTTTCCAGTGACTTCAATTTCAGTAAATAACGCTCGCTTTGTGCTAAGGTGGTTGTTTACCGTTGAAGAGCTAAATTCCTTTCGCTCGAATTGTTCAAGTAGTATACGTCGCGAATGGCTTAGTGTAATTTTAAATACAGTCTTAATTCTTCTTATAGTTTTCTTTCAGTTCTGCACTTTTATTACAGTGTGATGTTCTAGGGCGAAGTGTCATCATTGTATGATCAAGATTACAAAGGCCCTATAGAATTGCAACCACGTCGTGGTCCATTTGTCAGACAAGGCGGCTTCTGTCCAGCTTTCGTCATGGTTAAGCGCGATGGGGAAAGGTCAGTGGTTCTAATTTTACAATGAGTTTAGATTTCGAGTATAAATTTTAGAAGTAAAGAACGAACAGTATGTATATGTAGTGTGAGGTATCATATAAGGAAAGCAGAAATTAAAAGGGAGGTAAATGTTGGGCACTCTTGCTAGAATATCAGGATTTTCAAAGAGTTAACTTTATCTGTTTTAATATGCTGGTATGGATATGAAATAGCATCAATAATGAGTTTCGAATTGCTGTGGCTGTAAGACAATTCATGTTACAACAGAGTTTGTAAACTGTCAAGTGTATACTTTCTGTTGAACTTCTAACTGTTGTGACTAATCGCTAAAGTAAGTTGTTATATGGCTAATGGAAATAACTAGAGTTAATCACCACCTAGAATGTTAGTCATGCCGTCATCGCATATCTTCCGTGACTCAGTACTTCTTCTATTCGTGTTGTCTCGCCACCGTCATCCGTAGGAATAGTCGGATTTATTTCTGGATTCAGCAGTGAAATGAGTATCTATTGTCACTCACTGGCAAAGTGGATGCTGTTCGAACATGGTTTTCTGTGGAATTCAGGGGTTTCTGCATAGGATATTATGGATCGGAAAGAGTGCCGCTGTTTTATTGCTCGGATTTTTTCAAGATTCAAAACCTAAGAGCTTGGTTCTACTTTTTCTGATTGGTCGTGTTATCATAAACAAGGGTTACCAGCGAAAACTTTTGAGTTATAGAATTCTTAAGATTTATTTTGACTGTCATTGTTGAGCTTTCTATTACTAACAAAATACTTTTCGCTCACGAAGATTCTTTATTCAAAATCTTATTGGAGGCTGCGAGAAATTGATGCAGATTTTGGAGGTAAAGTTAAAGAGTTCGGTGTTAACTACGTATGCAGGGGTGTGTGGTGCATGCGATTTCATCAAGCATCGAAGAGGTGATCGAATGCATATCTGGCTTATACAACGACTTGTAGTGGCCTGCTGATTTATCAAGTCGGTGTTTCAGTGCCCCATATAAGACTTCTAGCAATTTGCAGACCTGGTAGAGATGGAAGCCTTGTGAGTTCTGGTCGATCGAAGCAACGACCGACAAAGACGAGTTCGAAGCGTTTTGTGTCGGTTTAAAGAAAATTCTGTGGAAAAGATCATATTTTATACGTTACCAGAAATTTTGACATCAAGGTGGAATGCGAAAAAAAGTCTGGTGAACTTCAGATGAAAACCGCTTAGTTAGAATGGAATGAGCAGCATGAGAGAATATCTGAGTTGATCTTTATGACATAAATCGTCGTAGCTCACCAATCCGAAAATGGTTAGTGGTGGGTGGACGTAGGAGCCTCCCATGTGTTTTCCCAGCACCGAAATCGAATTTATTGCATATCCGATGTTGTTGTTCAGAGGTTTCACACTGGATCGGGTTATCTTTTCTTTCGGATAAGGTTGCATTCTTCGAAAACAGTGAAAACGAAAAATTGACGGTATGCGATCACAAGTTCGTTGTAAATTGTGACTTGTTCGAGTCATCACTCGGCTTTTAGGAAAACAGTTTGCCAACAATATTGATGAAAATATGTACGAATATCGAAAACGAATGGGCGCGTGTAGCGCGGTGTTCCTAGGCGCCCTGCAATACATATCGGATCTATTACCGCGCCCCAAGCCCATGATTGCTAACTTTAGATACACTTTATCTGATCTCTTGTATAGTATACTAAGACGAATACATTAACAAAACAGGTAAACCAATCTGCGTCCATATTAAATGACACCTAGTCGGTAAAAAGTTAAGCCAAATACTCCACTAGGTACGCATAGTACTCAGAGACATAACGAGTAATGTTTTGAAGAAGATAACATTCTCGCACAGGAATCGAAAACACCGGCGCACAAAACTCGAGGAATTCCGGATACATTCCAGGAATCCAAAAATGAACCACATGGGGGAATGCATTGTGTTATCAGACATTGTTTAAGACCAGTTTTAATGTGAGAGGCTCACTATGCTTCCATGTGAACTCTGTGTTGATCAACACGTGACACAATGGAAGACCCATGGAAAGTGGTTAGTGTGCGAAGAGGTTATTCTGTGTTCAATGTGATTGAAATCTTGGTTTAACATCTTCTCTGTTTGGTTATGTAAGCGCTTGGTGGGTAAATTGCAGTCAACTTGACCTTTCCAGAATCTGAGAGAGATAATATCCGCCGGAAGGTCAGCTTCATAATAATGGCGAATAAAATAACACCTTGTGTTTGCTCAACAGGAATTTAAAGAAATACGACGCCTATATTTCTGTTGCACTGTAAACAAAGCAACTTCGCATTCTTACCACTCTGAGTCTTCCACTGAGTGTTCGACGTTGCAACCGTGGTGAGCTCACATGGAAAAGTAATAAACCACTCTCACGTTAGCGTATCGGTCTCAAATGATGTTTGAGATCTCACATAATAATGAGACATTTCTCCCGGATGTTCTTTTTTGAATCCTTGAAATTTATTCAGAGCGTTTTGAGGATTTTACACGTTGGGGTTTTAGATTCTTGTGCGAGGATCTCAAACATCTGCGATCTTTAAAATCTTCCCGTTGTGCATCTGTGTCCTCTGCATGTCTAGTGGAGTGTTTCGTTTATCTCTACTTTTACCGTGTTAGTATTCTTTTATACGGATACATAGTGGTCTACACATTTCGGCAATGTGTTCGTACCGACACACCTTACAAGAGATTAGGTATATTGTGGCCGAAGTCATTCAGTCATCGTCTGTACCTCCGAGGAAAATTAAGCAACTTTGCGCTGCTCATATGTGCTCGTAGAAACGGTCACGAACTAGTTTGTACGTAACACCTTCCGGACCATCTGAAGATTGAGTAGCTTAGGCACGCTTTTAATCATCAAAATCACGCAGAAGAGGAAGATTTTAAAGCAGAGTATCATCAACTATTGAACCATGAAACCATTTATGCTTATTCCTCCTTCATGTTGTATAGGGAGTTCAAGGATGGCTTGCATAGGGGAGCCATTGGACACGTTTGTATAGGAGGCTGTGACCGCGTTACATTGACGATCCAGGAATGTGTTTAAAACTAAGTATTAGGGTTATGAATCACGTTATTTTATCCGTTTGCTCGTCTGCACAGCTAATGATCGATCTAACCTTAAATAACGATGGATATGTTCCGCTATTTGTTGCCTTTCGGTGCTGAGTGGCGATCTAGCCGTTTTCGGATCATTACCATGAGTTGATGGGCATGTTGTAGTGGTGTCTATCACGTCATGGCGAAGAACACTGTTGTATACGTTGTCTACTTTACACTCTTTCCATGTAGAACCTTTAGTCATTTTTATATCAGATGTTACTATTATCGCTAAGCCTTATAATCTTCTATTTCTTACATTTGAATACCTCAGCGAAAAAATCGTTAGTATTTTCTCATTCTACCTTATTTAGATATAATGTGAAGATATGTGACTGGCATCTACATGGATCGGTGATTCCAACAAGAGCCTTAGAAATGATTGGTACGATGCTATTACTGAAAAATTTATCACCGCCATTGGTGAGAGTGATAATACAAGGTTTATATATCTTGTGATATTTTTTATACATCTTTGTTTTCTAATTTAAGAAATCTGTTGTTTAGCAGTGACTTGTTATTCAGTAGATGCATTTGTTTTCAGTGGTGCATTATATTTTTAAATTTAGGACAGACTACCGAGTTCTGCACTCCGATGAGTAGTCTTGATTTGTACATACGTCGTCTGGACCTTAAACAGTTTGAATGCTTATGCGAGTTTGTCCGTAAACGTTATGCTGATCATATCGATGTGTTAAGGCGCAAAATGGGTACGATTGTGCAATGTGATTCTATGACGGTTTGCACGGATTAGAAGTATTCGAATAGAAAGTGAATAAATGGATATTTTGTAGCATTTTTTACGGGCGCGTGTAGCGCAGTGGTCGGAGGCGCCCTGCTATACACATGAGGTCGATTCCCGCGCCCCTGGTCCACCAAGCCTTCCATACTTCCGTAGTCGGCAGATTGGTACCAGACATGTCTGTGAGGATAACAGCACAGACTCGATAAATCGACAGACCACCGCGAGTCATTGTAAAGCCATTGAATTACCTCGAAACGATCCTTAATGAAGTCGAATGCATAGTGCATCCCTAAGGGATTGATCAATGTTGAGAGCCTTATGCTCTATCTTTTTGTAGCGATTTTGTGATCTATGAGTAAGGTTGCTTTTGAATATGGAATGCTTAGGTTTCGGTATTGTGTTCTTACTATTTGAGGCATTTCACATAATCAGTACCAAACATTTGAGGATATCTGGAGTTGACGCGTTTTGAACGAAGTTGTATCACTGAGTATTTAACTCGCCGGCAAACACTAAAAGCCAAGTATACGAGAAATAATAACGGCATCAAGGAAGCGAACGATGTTAATTCGTGGGTTTACCATTGTACGGTATTTCTATTCTAGTAGTTGGTTGTTGAAATCAGGAACGTTGCGCTTAATTTTAAATCGTTCCAATATCCTCCAATTAATTTTACGTCTAACTTAGATTGTAAATGTACACAACTGAAATTGTTATTTGTTAAAGATAGCATGGGAAGTGAGAGGAAATTGGATGTGTAGTGTGATATTACGCGTCCAGATAGTTGCAGTTGAGCCAAATGAGTTTTTCATCACTGCTATCTGTAAAAAGTATTTCCTCGTCAATCAGCTGATCTTTATCGGTTATTTTGAAGGAACTGTAGTTATTAAGCTTTCATAGAATACTGTTACAGATTGGATCTGGCAGGTGGGTCGTCTCCTGCGAATAATCATCATCTCACTGAGGTTCGTTGTTTTATTTTTCGCAGACACGTTGATGGTAAAGTTTTTGCTATTGTCGAGTATATCTCGGCTGGTAATAGATGGAAGTATAGTTTCAGTGATAGAGGATGAACCATTAATTGAATCATCCTTGTTAACTCCAAAGCTTCTTTCGTTTCTTGCGATATTACTAGCTTCTTAGTGATGTTGGAGACTTCTAGCATTTAAACTCTTTAGGAAGATACAAATACACAAAGTGGGACGAAGAGGGAGTGTAATTCGTTCTCTTCACTGCAAAACGAATCGAAAAGGTGTAATACCAAATAACTTGCAGAACTTTCTGGTGAGCATTGTCGTGAATTAGTAATAGTGTAGTTTATGCCTAATTCGTTGTTGACAAGATCTTCATGTTCCATAAAACACTCATATTACTTTGCTTTTTTGTCGGTACGTAGTTTTTTTGTGTATGGTCTAATGGTCTGTTTCTACATTGCCAATTTAACCTGTTGGGTGTTCGTAGCACCATAAGAAGTGTACCCACATGAATGCTGAACTACTGAATGGTTTGAATTGCTTCTCACTCATTTTTTGTAACCTTTATCCTACTTTCAGCTGCCAAAATGGCTTGACAAGAGTTGGTGCAGTACTTATATCCTTTTTATGCATGAGATTTACTTCTAGATGTCTTTATTCTACGTTGCTATAGTCATCACATGGATTTTACAGTAAGAGGAAATTTTAGTTAAGAATGGATGTAAAAGGTGTTTTGCAAAACAAGAGATGCAAGCCACACAGTTAATGGTCTGCACTGTGCTTCCGCGAATCTAAATGCTATCCGTGATTCAGAGGGATAAAATAGACCTTGCTTCGGCCACTTTCTGCACAGCACCAGATAACCAAAGAATTTTAGTTGTTCAGACGGTCAGACATTTGTCAACATTTTCTCCTTCTGACAACCGTCTCAGTAAAGTTTGCTGCCCAGTTCCACCAACACATAGCAGAATTGTGGGTTTGTTTGTTCTATGCGGTGTGATGGCTGTTATTGCTGTTTGGGCTAGAAGACAGAGTAAAAGTCGGTGTAGGACACCCCGTTCTATTCTTGTGCGGTCTGAAATTTTGTGGAGCCCACTGATAAATCGTTCTATGAAAGCGAAGGGTGCTACGGTAATTCGCAGCTGAACGACTCTACTAATCAAGGGCAATGGTATAGCTTATCGAACACAACCGAGGAGTGCAGGTTTCAAGTTTTGGTCTTGGTTTCACTGATAACAAGGCGAAACTACCAGTGAAAGCAATGATTAAGTGAAATGGAGGAAGACAGGGTCATGCGCGGCTTATTCGCCCAAAGTGTGATTTGGTGTTGTTGGCGACTGATACATGTGCTGTTCATAGAGCAGTTATTGGTGGACAGTCGAATTCGGTAT